GTGTATTTATAGCCCTTGGATGTTCCAAATCCTACTAACTTGTACATTTATTTGCTCTATTTCAGTTTAAAAGACAAGACTTTTGGCTGAATTGATATGCTATTTTGGTTAGGAGCATCAGATGATGATTTCACATAGCCACAAAGAAAATAAAATAATTTTACAATTCTCATTGAAAAAGAATTCATTGCTTTTTGCATCTGAATATGATTTCATTATTCCAGGCCCCTCTCCATGGATGGAAGTTGGTTAGTTGAAAAATCAGGCATGCTAGAATATGGGGGCCAGAAGCAATTTTCATGATTATTTTGCTCCAGCTACTAGGATACTGGATTTCCTTCTAAATCCATTAAAATTAAGAATGTATTCTTTTATTTGTGAAGGTAATTTTTCAAGTTTAAGGTTTTGCATCTTGATTACAGGTAGATGTCCGTTCCAATGGTGCTGATAGTTTGGTTAATTATTAAATGGTTTGCCTAAGACCAGTCTCTGCCTTCAGAAGCAAAATGTCTAAGCATTTAATATACTTGTGAAATTTATTTGTTTTTTTGTCCTTTATTTTGTACTTTATTTTATTATCACTATTATTTTTTAAGTTTTTATTTAAATTCCAGTTAGTTAACATACAGTGTAAGAAGAGTTTCAGGTGTACAATTTAGCGATTCAACACTTGCATACAACACCCGGTGCTCATCACAGCAGGTGCCCTCCTTCATCCCGCTCACCTATTTTACCCCTCCTTCTACCCAGTATTTCCACTTACTCATAGGCTCTGGTAGTTTTAAACAAGGCCAATCATACAGGTTTAGAGAATAATGGCTTAGCCTTCGAACGAAACAGAAACTATGAGCTGTGCCCACCAGCCTCCCGCTGTTCTCTCTACTGGGCCACACCCTGAGCAGTTGAGATTTGATCAGTGACAGCAACCCTGATACATGTTTTTTTCTCCTTGGATTTAAGATGAAAGGCTATTGAGGGTGTGTGTGTGTGTGTGTGTGTGTGTGTGTGTGTGTTCCAACTAGACTTTCAGGTGCAGGACTGTAGAGATTCTGTTTTCTTGGCGTTTTACTGAATTCCTACAGAATTTTTAATCTATTTACTAATGTAGTCTCATCTGAAATACAAAGGTGGGGGGACGTTTCGGTAGTGAAATCACAAATTCTCTCCACATTGCATGACCTTCCTGAGAAGTTAGGTCAATACGTAGGAGAGCAGAAAAATTAGCCTGACTTATTCAGGTATGGATTATCTGATATGGTTATTAAATCATGACTGGGACAGCGCAATAGAAGTTATTTCAAATTATGCATCACTTTGAACAAACTTTATTGAAGCCTTTACTGCATTAGCCCTAATTACTCACAAGGATGATGCAGTGCTCCCTTGAATCAGACCCTGCACTGTGGCCGGGGACTGTGGCTGATCGATAGCAATTGAGCAGTTTGGTCACGAAGGCTGACCTGCTTGAGCCCCAGTGGCAGCCACGGCCATCCCTCCCTCCCAGTAGCTCACAAACTGACATGTTCTCCGCCTGGCCTCCCTCTACTGCAGCTCGTCTTCTGCCTCTTCCTTCAAATCAATAACTTTATAATCAGCATGCTTCCCAGACTCCGAGAAGCTAAAAAATTGCCTTAAACAAAACACACACACACACACACACACACACAACCACCCATCCATCCATCCATCCACCCCCACCCCACACACACTTGAGCTAGAAAAGACATGTTTTTAAACCTCTGACCCACATCCATTTCTCCCATGTTATAATGTTTATAAAATAAGGTGGGCAATTTTTTTTTTAAACCTAAGATCACCTATTTGAAAAAATACTGTTAGGGCTCTAGAATGATGAATCATTTGGCAAGTATTTACCAACAGCCTACCACATGTCCGTCAAATGTTTTCCATTTGATTGTTAACGTCCAAGATGGAGCATGTTTTTCTCCAATGTCTACCGCCGTGTCTAGCGCTGTATAATCACATAGCTACGGTCTCACCACGATCCACTTCACCCAGTGATTATTTATTGAGCATCTACTACGTGTCAGGGCCACACTAGATATGTTAGCATTCATTACTTTAAAAGGAAAAGAATTTCTAATTAATTGAATTCCTTCAGTACATTTTGTATCTCAATACATGATTTCTTAAATTACTTTTGCTTTTGAAGACACTTAGTTTTACTCTCTTTTCCTTCCCCCCTGCCCCCACTCTGCACTTGTCTGGGTCTTCAAAACCACTCTGTAAAAATGATGACCTACTGGAAACAGGCTAGAAGTACTTCTAAATTACCTTGCTTATAGTGAAAGATGAAAAAGGGACCCCAAAGAAAACAAAAATGAAGTGAACTGTCTCAGCAGAAATATATATGACTAATGCACAAGCACACAACTGAAAGAAATCAAACCAAGATACTATTTATTAACTTTCTACTGTGTGCTTGCCTGTGGTTAATGCATCAAATGATGAGTTTCACTCACTATTTCCTAAAAGAAGTAGGAGTCTATAATTAGGGAGAAAGAAATCTGCCTTTGCTAATGTTGGGCTTCTGACAGAGGGAGAATCCACTGGAAACCAGGCAATAAATCAAGAAGTTTGGTTTCCAATCCAATTGCGTGACCTCAGGCAGATCTCTGAATCTTGGAAGCAATCACGTGTGCATTGCGTGTGAAACAGGGTGTTGGACATGAGCCCAGGCTGTGTGACCCTAACTCTCTCAGGTTTGTGGGAAGCCATTTATCTGTGGGGAGCGGAATCTCAGGAAGGTCTGGTCTCCAGCACCTGGGGAGATCTCTGGCTTGTTTTCTCCCCAAAGTTCTGCTTAGCAGCCTGAGACCCGGAAATGGACCAAATCTGTGCAATTCTCCTGAGGGTCTCATTTTAGCACTGCCAAAAATAAACAGCCCATTCCTGCATCCTGAAACAGGAGAGCTTTGGCTCAGCTCTGATTACCAGAGAGGCAGGTTTAAAAGTTTAATACCCACCTGTTTAGCATATTTGTAAATGACCGAGCGCAAATAGAGGAGGCGAGCCCTTGAAAGCATGGGGTCCCAAGAATGCATTCTCTCACTCTGAATGGAAAGAGCCAAGAGGGGAGGAAAATGGGGGGGGGGACCACCTGTCTTTTGCCTCTGGGAAATATCTGGGCTTGGCAAGCAAAGGCATAAATATACAGGCTAATTTCTAAATCCATAAAGGGAGGTCTCCAGAGCTTAACCAAGAAGGTTGCATAAGTAATTATCGGGGTGGATAGTGCAGACTCCAAACCAAATCATTCACTCCAGCCAAGTGATCGCTTCTCAGAGTTCCAGGCTTGGCACCAGCTCCTCATCCAGGACTGTGTCCACATCGCTCCCTCTGCCTGGACGCTCTCCTGCAAAGGTGCTCCCATTTGTCAAGTCTCAGAGTAGTTTCTTCCTCACTCACCTATGACTTTCCCTCTGACCTCTTCCTGTTCTCACTGTAGGCATCATTTACCTGGCATTTCCACCAAGAACTTTCACTTCACACCTAGCATGTGAACAGTGGGTAGATTCACGATCCTGTTGGAGAGACTATCCCATTTCTCCTAAGCAAGATTTCCCAAATGGCTGAGAAGAATGGCACTTCCAAGAGATGTTAGGAGCTATTGCAAGAAAAATGGGTTCTGTGGTCAGATAAGATTGTGAAGTTCTGAGTCTGTCCTCCATGGAGCACCACAGTGCAGACCCTGGTCAATTAAAGGCTCTGAAAAGCCCTATGGAAAGGAAGCAGGTATAAAGCAGCATTCCCTAGACGCACTTAACTATGAAAATATCTGTTATCACAAGGCACCTACTAATATTTTGCAGAACTCAATTTGGGAAATGTCTCTCCAAATATTTCCTTCTGTTATTTCAGTCGGGCACATTTTCTAATGACCGGTAATTTCCATGAAGGAGGTAGGGATGATGACAAGTTGAGTTCTTTGCTCAGAGCATCCTGCTCACTGAGAAGATGAGTTTAGAGTGAATATCAGTAATGAGCCTCTTCCTGGGCTTCTAATCATAATAGGCATTTCTAAATACTATAATACGCTGAACAGTTACCAGCGCAGTAAGTCTACGCTGTGCCCTCATTCTGCATGCCACGAAGAGAGCAAGAACCTAAACCGTGAATTCCACCTCTGAGGTATGTACAATAGAAGTGAATAGAAGACAGTTCTTCTGTAGTCTCTGAGTAGGTAGCAAACACATGGTAGATACTGGGTGCTGCGTGCATTCGGGAGGGGAGGCTGGGCCTTCAAGGTCTGTGGGATGTAGACAGGAGTTGAGGAAGGCTGTCCTCAAAGAACAGCATTAAGCCAAGCCCAAGGTCTGCTTTCTTGGCAGGAGGGATAAACATGGCAAAGTGGGGGTTGGTGCAGGCACTGGTGGGAGATTATGTGGGGAGCAGAAGAAGGCAGAGCATCTGGGATGTCTGAAGGAGTTTATATTTTATCAACTGCCAGTGAGGGATCTGGTGACTACTGAGGAATTCCTGACATCATGGGGTAGAATGAATCAAGGCCTCTGAGAAACTCTGATCACTGTCTCCCACCCCCAGTGAGCAAGGGAGCTAATCAAATCCAGTGGCCGAGAGCAAGGGTACTGGACCTATGTTGGCATCCTGACTGTCCACAGGTTCCTGAGGTGAGTTTCTTGACTCCTGGCTTCCTCTTCTGAACTGCGGACATAGGTATTTACTTCACAGACCTCTTTTATGCATCACGTGAGATAAACACAGATAAGGCCCTGATGCAGAGATTAATAATTATTAAGGCTTGATAAAAAGCCATTAATATGGTTATCATTCAGTTCCTACTCACGGGCCTTTGCCCCCAGGTCCTGAGCTGATCTTGAAAACTCAGTGTGGAAACACGCTTGGTGTCTATGGGAGGTTGCTAAGCGGAGAACCTATATTCCACAGCACACTCCCTGTGGGCCTTCTCCATGCCCACCTTCATGGGGGTGAACCCAAAGCCTCTGCCCAGTGCTCACCTGCATCAGACGTGGCTGCAGATGCAGCAAGGAGCGATAGCACTGGGCTCGGGGGGATTGCCACGCTGTCAACCGCGGCTGGCTTCTTCCTGGTCATCATGGTGGATGTGGAGCCCTCGTTCTTACTGTGTGGTGCCGTTTGGTCCACTTTTAGGTGGGGACTTGGCATCCCTACAAAAGAACAATCCCAAAGCTTGCAGTTATTTGAAAAGAACAGGAAAACAGACAACAGAAAACCTGAAAGTGAGCTGAGAAAATTGTTAATTCACCTGCCCTCCTTCTGGTAGAACAAGAATGAAATTTTAGAACATTTAAAGAAAAAAAATATTAGCAGCATGACTGGTTTTGGTTTTGTGGCTGAGATCAGTGGTGACAACATTCTGGTTTGGCTGCATGGAAGCAGGGGGACAGGCCCAGTGAAGCAGGGGAGGCCAGCAGCTACCCTTTGTCTTCTATGGGTCAAGAAGCCCATCTTCACAGAGGTTGTGCTGTGTGCAGCATGAAGGGGAGAAGGGGACCCCACCCTTCTTGTTGTTGTGAATAACAATGCTTCGCATGTCATCTGGCTGGGGACACGAGACTAAAGGAGAAGGAAAAATTGGATGGCACGGAAGGGCGGGCTTGGGTGTTCTTCATCCATTCACGTCCTAGGTGCTTGGGGAGCGCTAAGGAGTTCAGGATTAGTGTGGGGAGAAGTGAGGGAAGGCTTTCCAGAGCTTATGCTAAAGCAGCAAGGAAGAGGGAAAGGCATTCTCGGTGCCAAGAAGAGCACACACTAAGTTCTGGGTGGGGAATGAAGATGATCCAGACGAGAGGCCGGTCTGCCGGAGCAGAAGATGCCTTGTGGGGGCTGGTACGTAATAGCAGTCACCACGGCCGAGCGAAAGTTGATTTGGGGGCTTTTCAGCCTCTGGTCCTAAGAAGCATCATAAATCATGTCTTTGTGATGCTGAAAAGCACCTCTTGTGAAGTGCCTCTGTAAGGGCCTGGAACTATATGACATATTATAGAGCTATCCTGGAACCTTGCTTCCGAGGTTCGAACCCAGGCTCTCTTATTTTTTAGCTGTGTGATCATAAGCAAGTTGCTTACCCTCTCCAAGCTCTGAGATTCCTGAGCTGTACAAATGGGGTGGAACCATATAAGCTCACAGGGGTGGTTGGGAGGATCCCGGAGGCAATTAATGTAAAGTGCTTAGAGCAGTGGCCGGCACAGACTCCCGGACAAGGAAGCGTTTCCTGTTCCTATTACTCTTATTATCACCACTGTCGGTACTGCAGCTGCGGCTTCCTCAGGGCAATGGAAGGCAGCTGGCAAAGGCTCCGTTCTCTTCCCTGACCTGCCCAAGGATTTCTGGGCCCCATCTGCATCCCCAGCTGCAGGAACGTGGCTCTCCAACTCATCCAAGCCCAAGTCCAGAGGCTGGGCGTGTCTGAATCCATGTCAGATGGTCGTCCATGCAGAATTTCTTCATTTCTAGGCTACCTGCCACTGACAGCAACAACAATGGGGCTTTATCCCACAGCTCTTGATCCTTGTTTTTGCAACCCAACCACCGTGGGTGATTTAGTCCTCTCCCCGAGTAACGTTACGTTGCCGCCACAGTGAAAGCAGCTCGGGGGGGTCAGTGGCAGCCCCATGAAGTGTGTAGCGCAGAAGATACCAGTTTCTTAATTTTACAGATGAGGGAAACACATTTCTGAGATGTTAAGAGATAACTAACTAAAGTCACACAGCCCTAATGTCAGGGCTGGGAGTCTGCAAGTAGCCAGATGCTAAATCCAGGACCCATGGATCAGCCCGGCCCAGCTGGTCATCTTCTAACACCTGTCCACTGCCCTGGTCGGCCCACAGCATCACACCTGGGTGCACAGGCCCTAGCCTCACACCTGGAAAAAGCACCTGTAAGCATCTAAGGAAGAAAGTCATGTTGACATTTTCATTGATCTACTACTACCTTCCTCCTACTCTCCATCCCACCCTCTGAAACTCCCCCTCTGGTGTTGTGAATAACAATGCCATTTACACTTCTTTGGATTTTCTATTTCATAGCATTTTGACAGTGGAGGTAGACAGACATCAAATTCTGCGACAGAAAGATTGCAAGGCATGACCATCAGGAAGCCAGGAAGGGCAGCAAACGTGGGCAGGATGTCCATTTGTGAAATACACAGGGGTGACAGGGATGGGCTAGGCGTGCACACATAACACATGTAACACACATACAGAACCACCCACAAGGAGATCTAGCCGAACAGTTAACAGTGATTATTCTCAGGAAGGAGAGCACAGCAAAGTTTGGTGAGGAAGAGGGAGTTTTTTTACACTTACTCCCTAGCCTTCTTTCTTGTTAATAGTTTCAAAGCCACAAACATATTAAACTTTGTTTCCTTTGAGAAAATAAACAGACTTTGGGGGTAAAATCTAGAAGTCTACCAGAGCACAGGCTTTGGGTAGAATGATATGCTTGAACATCTGGCTGCTAACAATCTCAACTGGGGACAGCAGCCCCGGGTCTGACGGAAGTCCTCCCAGTTCGTTCCCCCCACTTGGGTATTTGCCGTGCCACCCGGGGCATGCTCCCATTAAATGGAGGCAGGTGGGCCTTCCATAGCCATAGTGCGCCTCTGGAAGTCCAAGCCATCCCAGAGTTGGAAAACAGCTCCTCTGGAAAAACCCACTGATATGTCATCCTTGTACTTGTGGACACAGGTTGGGCAGGTCATTCTTTGCGCAAATTATGACAGGCTCAGGGAACAAGCCGCAAACAGGATGAGCAGGAGGATATTTAACTCTCACTTGGGAACAAACTGATTTCAAGTCATTTTCGTTGTACCCATTTTCATGCAAATGTTCACCATCCAAATTAGTCTCAGTCCACATCATTTCATTAAAGTTCATTCGATCATACCTCTATTGGGCATACTTTGCTACTCAAGTGTTTATGTTAAAAGTAATAAAATGACACTTAAAAACTCTATAATTCAAATTGTCACTATTCAAGCTGTCTTGAAAACCCTCGATAATTTAGGATTTTCTAGATTATGGAACTGTTTGTTAGTTGCCATCCAATGAATTTGAAAAGCAATTAGGAAAAAAGAAAAAAAGGAGCCCTGACGTTTTCTCAGACATTTTTGGGTTTTGAAAGGATGATGGAAACAATCCCAGAAATAGCATACACGAAGCAAGTATATTAGATAAGCTTTCAACAAAGACTAATCTAACAGCATTTGGAATCCCCAAAATCTGCCTGAGGGCCAAGGGCTCGGGGTCCTGGGATGGGTGACACCACCACCCCCCCCCCGCCAGGGGAGAGAGCACTGGGCAGGCTGGCCACCAGAAGTCTTCATTTCCCTTTATTCCAGGTGGGAACTGAGGCTCCATGGACAGGGGCCCAAATGACCGGACATGCGTGAAACAGTTCAGAAGCAAGTTCTCGGAGATGTGGGATGAGGGCGGAGTGCTGGGACATTTGGAACCTTTCTTCTCAGCATGGGCCTGGCTTCCCTCTCTCTGGGGGAGAGAGATGCGTGAAGCTGGAGGTCCACCAGAAAGAACCCCTGGATCATTGAGATGTGTTACTTCAACTAACCCCGGGACCTGAGTAAAGGTGAGCATAGCTTTGATGTGGGAAGGGGTCACTTCCATCTCAGACAGCAGACTGTGTGGAGAACACACATGGTGCCTGCATTCGAAACATCCGTCAACCCCAGCTCAGGACAGACTGTACTGGGGCTCGCATATTTGGAGGCCAGGACGTTTTTAAAGGAGGAAATAACAACGCTAATAACTATGTGGATCCAACATCTGTTCATAATTAAAAGATAGAGCCAAGAGGAAATATTGTTTCAAAGTTAAACCTATAGGAAAACATTCTGCTAATAACCTGTTGACCTCTATTGATACATTTTTAAAAAGTCTTTGAAACTGTGCTGTAGTGCATCGAGGAACAGTCACTCATTTTCAAAGGTAATTTCTCATAGACCACTTATCCCCTCAAACCTCTACCTGCACACCGTGTTTGCATTAGGGACTTGATTTATGGATTCCCAGTCCTCCAATGCAGAAGCTGACTTCCTGTTGCCTTGGTTACTTGGAGCTTGGTTCAAGGTTAAAGTACTCCCAAATCAGAATCAGTGGCAGGCGCTGCATCTAGCGGCCAGGTTATTGACTGCCCCGGGATGGGAAAAGGTCAGAGACCAAAGCACTGTTTACTGCCTTAAGGGTGAGTCAATAGCTTCGATATTTTGATTCTGTTTCTTCCAAAGTAGTAGTTGCTGTTCAATTACCTCTTCCCCGGGTTGTTCAAGGTCACAGGGGTCATGGAGGAAAAGCAGGGTCTTTGGTGGCTGACTTTCCCAGGATCCCTTTAATGAGCTCTGTGACCTTGGATAATAAAAACCAGCCCCACCTTAGAGTAATTTGTATGTTGCTCTAGGTTTATAAAGCTACTTTATCTCATCTTCTTTCTGGGGAAAACAAACAAACAAACAAACAAAAATCTTTGTAGGAGGAGTACTGTATACTCCCCTTTCCGAGATCAGAAAAAGGAGGTTTACAGAGGTCGTGTAACTTACGTAAAATCACACAGTTGGTAAGAAGTGGTAAGAACTAGATCCTGACTCCTTGATGGGTCCTCATGTCACAATTTCTTTAAAACAGAGGGGCTAATGGAATCATCACTAGGGATCATATGTAATTCATTTTGTAACATCCACTGCAGAGAGCAGTAGATCTAGAAAATGCTATGTCATTAACATAGGCTTGTTGAACATCTTAATTAATTTTTTAATTATACGATTTGCAAATGCAGTTGTTTCCTGGTGACAAAACTTAGTCTGGGATAGTGAGAGAGCCTGAGTGGTTGGGTTCCTCAGTCACCTCCCTGGCCCCCTTCATGCTGCAGAATGCAGGGCTTTGGCACACACTGGGAAGTATACAGAGCAGTCAGTGGCTTTTAATCTTGCAAAGAGCTTTGACATACATTATGCCATTTGCCCCTGCAGCATCTCTGTGGATGACAAAAGGCAGATGGTGAAATTCCAAATACACAGATGAGGAAACTGAGCCACAGAGGACCAGATGATTTCTGATCCAAACTCACACATCACATGTGCAGAAGAAAGAGTGTGGAAATCCATGCCTGTCGACTCAATTCGATGTCTTTTCTT